TAGGACTTTTTCCACCACTGTTTCCCACATGCATAAAGGACTGGAAATTGTGGGGCTCTGGAAAGCACCTCTGTGATTCTGGGTGAAGTCAGAAGTCTCAGGATCTCTCTCTATATATAGGTATAAAAAATATTGATACATCTCAGCAGAGGCCCTATCCATTCATCCTTTAAGATTATAAAATTCGGTTCAGGTGTGCTACAGGGATGAGATGCTGTCCCAGATGTTTGTGGCTCTGCTGTTTTGATTTACGCAAGGTGGAAGTCATCTGGAACACTTCCATTTTCATGCCAATAATGCTGCCACCCATTGGGTCCCAACCTAGTTTTCGGTGTGTGCGTGTGTCTAAGGGTAGTCAACCGTCAGATAGGGCTTGAAGTCCTTCTGCAATTATAATCTCCAAACCACAGCAATCTCTTCTTTGGAGGAAATGGCAGCTCTTGGGGGGTGGACTGCATGGAATCGCATTCCCATCAACTTCCCTCCCCTCTCAAAAATCCATACTCAACAAGCCCAGCCCCCAAACCTCCAGGAATTTCCCAGGCCTGAGTTGGCAACTGGGTCTCTAGTTGCCCTCCTGCTAAGTAGTGACAGAACATTTTACTCTGGCCTGACAAACATGTTTTCTCCAGTGGCCAGAGAATACACAGGGAACTGGGGGAAGGGGGAAATGTTCCAGTAGTGTATATTATCTCCTCTATAATTATTGGAGAAATGTCTCTCTACAGTTGTTTCTCTAGACCAAAGCTCCCATGGCTTTAAGAAGATAAAAAAAGAAATGAACAAATAAATCTCCCTTTGTGTAGGTGAGGCTTCCAATAAAAGGATTATTAAAGCCACACAACGGCCATGTGTTTATTAATGCTAGGGACAAAGTGGATATGCTGTCTCAGAGATGGCTTCCATCCAAACAAGTTTGTTTAATCCAAGCTGCTGCTACCTGATGATGCTGTATGTGAAGGTGACACAAGAGCATCTAGGTCCAAAGGGAAGCTTTCCTGTTTGGATGCGTGACATGAGGAGTGTGATGCTGCTTCTGCTATTGCTGCTGTTTCCTCACATGGTGTGCAAAGTACATTGCATGAACTGTGCTGTGACTGACACCCTTCCCATTCCACATGAGTGGCAGCAGCCTGGCAAAGTCCTCATTGGTGGGATCACAACACTTATCAATGTTGTGTTCCCCAGACTGAAATTCAAAAAATACCCTTCTCAGGAGGCAATCGACACCAAAATGTATGGAATAATTTCATCATCATCATCATCATAAAAAAAAGAAGTGGTGACTATAGTTGATTGATTCTTTGCATTAATTGCAACATGTATTCATTTTTCTTTTGAAAAAGAGAGGCGTTTCTAAAATGAATAAACAAAGTGAGCAAGTGAATATATAGGTATTATTATATGCATATTCTTCCGAAAACACCATCATAAGGAATGAAAGCTCATTCATAGACTAGCAAACTGGGATGTTTTGGAGAGAGAAAAATCAGTGGAGATGCTTCACAAATTGTGTTTCTTCAGTTGTATTTGTCTCACCCAGTTCAGTTCCTATTCTTCTGTCTCAGATTGACTCTTTCAACATTATTAGGAAGTAAAAGTTCCCAGAAATATAGCTGTTGTTCAACACATTGTCGATACCAAGAATTCATGATTTTATCAAACCCATGTAGATGTTTGAGGGAATTCGAGGGTTATATGTCTATTTTGGTTATGGAAATCACTTACACTCCCTGATTTTTTGTAAACACACTCAGAAATATGAAGGCCCAATCTCTAAGCAAAAACTGTCTCCCCCCCCCCCTTCACAGAGCACACACTGGCTGATTTCCCACTAGAGCTGCCCCAATGTTGCGCCGCCATTTGCCCCAAAACTATTGGTCAATTTCACACCCGAAGCTGTGGGGCTGCATTTTGACTCGCGGCTTCGCCCGATTTCCCCCGCAGTTTCGTGATCCTGTTTTTTGAGGATCACAAAACTGCGGAGGAAATCAGGCAAAGCCTCGGGTCAAATGCAGCCCCACGGCTTCGGGTGTGAAAGTGACCAATACTATCGGGGCAATCGACGGCGCAACATCGAGGCAGCTCTAGTGCAAAATCAGCCACTGACTCCATACAGAGCCCAATAGCCAATTTTTCAGCCTAACATCTGCTGTATATCAAGAGATGCCGTAATTTCCATAGGCACATGTGGCATCTGTTCGATCAGTGGCCTTCTTTGTTGCAGCACAAATCCTGAGGAATGAAAAAAAAACAGTGAAGGTGTGTAGGACACACAAACACACAGACAGGACTTAGGAATTATATCTGGCTGTATCATTCCATTGAGCCTTTCAAGACAAACCTTTGGGTTGAAATCTATTGGCAGCAAAGTGTTCTTCCCTGGATATAATCTCTGTTGGATGAAGGATTGCATTGATACTGAATCTGGACTTTCCTTGTGCATCCCCCCCCCCACTTATAGCCACTGATTGTACTCTGTGACTTACTGGGAAAGGTCAAGACATTAAGAACATTTGTGCCTTGAACTTGTTCACTACATGAATACTAGGAATTACAACAGCAAACGGTTATTCAGAAAAATTATGTTTCCCTAATTTCTGCTCCTTCATGGTTCAGGCTGTAGACAGCTGAACTCTGTAAATACAGAAAGCAGTACTTAATGCTCCCTCTAAGCTGTGGAGTCTTGTGAGAAAAAAATCTACTTTGTGAGCTACTGGCATTAAAGTTGTGTGTGAGCGAGCCATTAGTTTGCTCTGGAGCCATCCTTCCTGAGGTAAGACAAAAATGTGTGAGCCACAGGCTAAAAAACTGTGAGCTAGCTCACACTTGCTCAGCTTAGAGGGAACATGACCAAACTAGACATGAGCAGGGGAATCAGTGATTAGAACCTCCCATTTTTAAGGGAGATACGATATACATTCCTCAAATTTCTGGTTACCTCTTGGTAAAGAATATCTGAGTTCCTTATCCATTATGAAGGCAAATGGGGGGTGATATTTAGAATGGGGAAATGGGTATTAGGAAAATAGTTTTAGGGGGAAAGGATAAATCCCACATTCTCCATCAACTTGGTCTGTGGAGGTTGCTTTTATCCTCTCAAAAACTGGTAGATCCAAATTGTACACTTTTGATAATTAAATTACTGTATTTGCAGTGTGATAACCAAGTTCTACCAGCACATTCTGGCCTTAGCATTTGCTATCAATGAGATCAATGAGAATCCCAAGATCTTGCCCAACGTCACTCTTGGGTTCCACATCTATGACAGCAATTATGATCCCAAAATGACCTACCGAACCACCCTGGACCTCTTTTTCAAATCAAAGAGATTTCTTCCCAACTATAAATGTGGTGTCCAGAGCAATGTAGTTGGAGTGATTGGAGGCCTGGACTCTGATACCTCATCACGCATGGCAGAGCTCTTACAAGTGTACAAGATTCCACAGGTAAGAGCTACAGATAGGGGTAATTGACAGTGAAGATTTTTCCTAACCTTACATGTATTTTGCTTTTCCATTCTCTTTCTTGTAGGGATATCATGGTTCAGAAAAAAGGGAGCAGTATTGCTTGAATAAAGGAAAACATCCTCAAATGTAGGCTTTTGTAATAGTACAGGATGGGTAAAGGTGTGGAGGTATGTCTCTGTGTATGGACAGAATATGTAGAGGAGAGATAGAGTGGAAAAATTAAAAATGGCCTGGAGAGGGAGGGGTTGCTGACATTATTTGATCACATAGGAAAGCCTATTGTGGGGAAGCTTGACTTGCCCAATCTGACACACTCTGAAATTGTCACTCATATTTTGCGGGTTGGTGACTACCTGGAATATAGTATTCATATAACATAAGAGAAGAGCATATGATACATTCCAGCTATTGATAAACTGCTTGGTATGTGATGCCACGGGCAAAGAGTGCTCCTGCCTCCCTGCCATTCCATTATTCTGAACTAAAATAGCCCTGAATCCCCCATTTTTGCAGGTGCATGTGCTGCATGTCTGAGAAAACCCAGACTGCACTCTTTTAAAAGTACCTTTTCTAATTTGGTCAAAGTCCTCCCCTTTCTTGAGGAATAACACAAGGACTTTGTATGGCACATGTGACTGGAGTTTTGTGCCTCCCTGATGAGCACTGGCACTTTTCTGCTTGTGACCATGATAGCGGTTGGCATGATGCGGTTAGGGTTAGGGTTGCGGTCACACACATGAAATAATCCACTTTCGATGCATTTTTTATTTGGATTTTGCCAGTTCACACAGTAAAAATCCAGTTGGAAAGTGCATTGAAAGTGGATTGAAAGTGGATTATTTTGTGTGTGTGACCACAGTCATAGATAAGTGGCTTTAGCCTCCCACACCACACTTTTTTCCCATCCCCATCCCATGGAACCACTATTGGCTGTCTTGTGAAACATAGCTTACATTAGCTCCATGGGATGGAGGATGCCGAAACATTGTGCGTGGAAGAAAGCCAGTGCTGCTTATCCATGTGTGTCATGGTTTGCCAGACACAAAGAAGCCATTGTGCTTCTGGGAGGCACTAAACTCAAGTCACCTGTGTGATAGAAAGCCCTTTTGTTCCCCAGCAAACACCAAGGCTTCATAATGAGTAGATGAAGCCCCAGACAGTGGATTGTCTGGGGTTGCTGTCTTTCTGTAATAAAGATGGCTCACCTTTAAAAGGTGCATTAAAGAAGGAGGAACTCAACATACATCACTGCGTGTTCATGATGGAAGAATCTTTTTCTCTTGTATTTCCTTCTTGCTGAGGTTAAAGCTAAAGTAGATCATGAGATCTACTTCAAAGTTTCTCTTTATCCCTTAGTCTTTAGCAACAAGAGATTACGTGTGTGTGTATAAAATTCTAATGAATGAAGTGACCTAAGATTAAGTTTCCATTCCTTTTTGTGTGGCTCTCTCACCAATTCTTGTATAGATTTCATATGGGTCATTTGAATCAACATCAATGGAAGGAACCCATTTCCCTTCATTTTACCGCATGGTTCCCAGTGAAGCCCTTCAGATGACAGGGACTGTTCAATTACTTCTGCATTTCAAATGGAAATGGGTAGGATTTATTATTATAGATGATGATAGTGGAGATCATTTCTTGCATTCGATGGAGCCTCTGTTTTCTGAGAATGGAATCTGCTCAGCTTTCACCAGAAGAGTTCAAAAGAATGCCCGATCATTTAGTGCAGAGGAAGTTAACATTTGCATTAAAAATAATATTCCAGATTTCATGGAGAGCAACACCAAGGCATGTGTTATTTACGGGAACACTCAAACCATTACATGGCTAGAATTTATGATATGGCTTACAACATTCTTTCTTCCGCTACGGTTTCCAGAATATAAGGGTAAAGTTTCTGCAGGAAAAGTATGGATCATGACATCCCAGGCTGATTTCTTGGCCAATCTATTCCAAAAGTATTTTGATATTCAAATGTTCCATGGTGCTATGTCCTTCACTATTCACTCAACAGAACTTGTAGGATTCCAAGAATTTCTTCAGAATACCAATCATTTGGAGGAAAAGGGAAATACATTCATCCAGGAGTTCTGGGAGCAAGCATTTGACTGTTTAATTCCAAATTTGGTTAGGCCCAAAGATGCAGATGAAACATGCACAGGGGAGGAGACCCTGAAAGACCTTCCTACAACGTATTTTGAAATGAGCATAAGTGGCCATAGTTATAGTATCTACAATGCTGCCTATGCTGTGGCTCATGCCTTGCACACCATTTACACTTCTAGTTTCTTCCTGAGAAGAGCAGAGGATAGTGGGAAACTGACTCCATTGAATGTGCAACCCTGGCAGGTAACATCTACTCAATGACCAAAAAAAATGTACTGGTGTGATATAAGTTCTACATAATACTGTAATTCAGGGTCTTCTGTATTTCTTCAGATCATTTCCTTTAATTATCAGATATTGGAACAATAAATGGTGGTGGATTGTGTCATCGAGTTGTACCCAAATTATGGTGACTCTTTATGGGTTTTCAAGGGGAAAGGCATCAGGATGGGATTCCATTGCTTGCCTCTGCACAGAGACTCTGGACCTTCTTGGTGGTCTCTCACCTAAGTACTAACCAAGGCCAACCCTGCTTACCTTCCAAGACTGGACCATCCAGGTCGGGTGTGTGTGTAATAATCAGACTTCTTATATAATCTGATTTCTCATTCATCAGTAATATTAGACATAATAATACTTTAGTCTCACACTAAATATTACTTTTTGAGGACTGGCAGCAGTTCTGCATGTTGAGGTCCTTCACATTACTGATTCATGATCCTTGCTCAACAACAGATGCTTACTCCTCACTCTGTGTTTTGAAATGAGCCAGGGCATTTCCACTGAAGAGGGGAGAAGAGGTGGAACTATAATTCATACCTCACAGACCACATGCCATTCCTCTAACCCCATCCTTAATTGGGGGTTCATCATAAAAAGAAGTTTTACATGATTTTATCCTCTGCCACTCTCTTCCAATAACTGATACCTGAGATGTTGTTCAATATCAGTTATGAAATAATCACATTCATATGAGCAATGTCTCCGTAGAAAATAAAATTCATTAGAAGAAGTTATTTGAAAATCTCAGTGGAAAAGTTATACTGTCCTTCACATAGTTATCCTCTATTTTCTCCTAGCTCCACTCATTGCTTCAGAGGATTTCATTCAACAACAGTGCCAGAGAACAGATTGTGTTAAATGAGCATGGAGAATTAACTGGTGGATTTGATATTACCAATCTGGTCACTTTCCCAAACAACACATACATCAAAGTCAAAGTCGGAATAGTGGATCCTCAGGCTCCTCCAGGCCAAGAGGTCACCATTGATGAGGACAGCATTGAGTGGCACACAGAACTCCTTCAGGTAGGAAGATAAATAGATCAGATTGAAATGAAAAAAATATATGCAGGTCTTTAACAAAAACTGGAAGAGGGAGAGGCAACAAAAGCCTTCTTGGTACTTATAGCACCTGACAACTTTTTGCTCTGTGAACATTCATGAAGGAATAGAAGTTAATTTTTGGTCATATTATAAAATCCGTGGTCATCCCCTGAAACGTATGGGTTTAAGATGAAAGAAACCAAAGCCATTCCTCACACAATGCATAATAACCACATTTAATAGGACTGTTGTAAATTATTATTGGGGAGGGAAGGCAGTATGAGATAGCATGATCTTGTTAGACCTTGGAAGCTGAACAGGGTTAGTATGTAGATGGGAGACCACCAAGAATGCAGAGGAAAGCAATAGCAAACCACCTCTGCTTCTCGCTTGCCTTGAAAGCCCCTTGCTCAGGTTGCCATAGGTCAGTTGTAATGTGACTGCACTGACATGCATAAATTATGATGCAGAACTGGACCAGTGACTAAAAGCATTGATAATATTCATATCATTGCTTACTACTGAAATGCCAAGAGCCATATAACCATAAGAGATTCACCTGCTGGAGCAGGATCAGACCAGTGGTTCATCCCCTCCAGCATCTGGTTCTACACAGTGGTGAACCACTTGCTTTGGAGGGCCAATATACCAGATAAAGAGACCAATGCCTCCCTGTGATGTTAGCATTTTAAATTTCATTATGGTATCGTTTGTGGGCAATGGCAGTTGCAAGGATTCTCACTTTGCAGAAATAAAACTTTATTGGTAATAATTTTCTTTTATCACCTTATTAGACCTTCTGATGATTCAACATTACTTAGATGTACTATTAGTGCTTTACCCTGACCTGGACAGAGCAGGGTAGCCTGATTTCATCAGGTCTTCGAAACTAAGCAGAGTCAGCCCTCATTGATACATGGATGGGAGACCACGGGACTACTAAAGTCGGCTACAGCTTGCACTTTGCATAATCAACAGTGTTTTATATTTCGTTGACCAGAAAGATAAGCTCGTTTTTCACTTTTTAAAATAACCAGCATTAAACACTTGGAGAGCCTATATTACGTAACATTTTCCAAACATTTTGAGCAATAATTTCTTTTTTCCCCACCAAGCACAGGTTCCTCCATCCTCTTTGTGCAATGACCCCTGCTATCCGGGTTTCAGTAAGAAAATGAAAGAAGGGGGAAAGTTTTGCTGCTATGATTGTGCTCCATGTTCTGAAGGGAGGATCTCAAACCAAGAGGGTAGGATACACACTCTAAACAAACAGAATTCAAGCCCAGTCTCTGAACTTGCTTGGAATGATGGCAGAAGGTGCAACCCATTGGGCATTTAAATACCATTCATTGATGGCACTGGGCTTTTGCCAGCTAAGAAAAATATGCTAACAGCATTTTTACTTTCTTAATCATTTCTCCAACGGTGTTCCATCATTTGCTTCATACGCTGGGGAAATGATGGAACATAAGAACATAAGAAGAGCCTTGCTGGATCAGACTGATAGTCCAACTACTCCAGCACCTCTCTCACACTTTTACTTTGGAAGGCCAACAGCAAGGCATACAGGCCAAGGTGGTTGTTGCCAGGGCAACTTTCCACCTGGCCTGGTATTGTACTGACTCTGAATGTGGACCTTCACAAACACAATATTGAAGACTTTATTGCATGCATAACACATGTGTGGTGCAAATATGGTCCCCAGAGACCTCTAGTATATTTGTGGATAACCAACAGATATGATAATGTCACTTTGATGACTGTTCTCATTAAAGCACTTCCAGTTTGGGAGAATAATTAGCATGGCTTTAAACTGGGAAAAATAGGTTTTATATAGTGAGCTTTTACACATATTCTTACCCAATTCCTTCATGCATGGCTTTTGTAGAGACAGTTCCTATGAATCTTAGCAAACCTTGTTTGAGTGGTCAAGGAAAGACTAATCCAATCCAATATTTGTCCCCACCCCCAGATATGGATCATTGCATCAGTTGTTTAGAAGATCACTATCCAAATAAGGAGCAAGATCACTGCATACCCAAGACAATAAGCTTCCTATCTTTAGAAGAACCTTTGACCATCATTTTAGGCTTTTGGGCCTTTTTCTTCTCTGTGCTTACAGTGCTGATACTTGCAATCTTCATTAAGTACCAGGACACTCCCATTGTCAAAGCCAACAACCGAAGCCTCACCTACATTCTTCTTGTCTCTCTCCTTCTTTGCTTCCTCTGCTCTTTGTTCTTCATGGGACGTCCTACTAAGATGTTCTGCCTACTCCGACAAACAACATTTGGCATCATCTTTTCAGTAGCTGTTTCTTCTGTATTGGCAAAAACCACTACAGTAGTGGTGGCTTTCATGACCTCCAAGCCAGGAAATATTTTCCAAAAATGGATGGGCAAACAATTGGCTCATTCTGTTGTCTCATCCAGCTCATTTGTTGAAGTCATCATTTGTGTTGTTTGGTTAGCAACCTCTCCCCCATTCCCAGATATGGACACACACTCACTGACAGCACAAATCATAGTGCAATGTAATGAAGGGTCAGTTACAATGTTTTACTGTGTCCTGGGTTACATGGGAATACTTGCTAGCATCAGCTTCATGGTAGCTTTCCTAGCCAGGAAATTGCCTGACAGTTTTAATGAAGCCAAGTTCATTACCTTCAGCATGTTGGTCTTTTGCAGTGTTTGGCTCTCCTTTGTCCCAACCTATCTGAGCACAAAAGGAAAGTACATGGTTGCTGTGGAGATCTTCTCCATTTTGGCCTCTAGTGCTGGGCTACTGGGCTGCATCTTTTTGCCCAAATGTTATGTCATAATATTGAGGCCTGAGTTGAACAACAGAGAGCAGCTAGTTAGGAGAAAACATTAATTAGAGAATGGTCAAACTGTTAAAATATTATCATCTGATAGTTTATAGCTGTAAATCCATTTCAGTCTGGCTTCAGACCAGGCTATGGGATAGAGATGCCACTGGTGGCCCTAAGATATGATGCCATCTGAATGAAGACAAAGAGTGTGCCTCTTTATTTGTTGTTGTAACTGCATTAATCAGCCTTTGATGCTATAAACCATACCATCATTAAGTATCTGATCATTGGTCTGTATTTTTTGATCATTTATACTTCCTCTGAAAAGTTCAGTGAATGTAGTTTTAACAATATTCTGAATTATTACGATTATATTGAGTGTTCCAATTGATTCTTCACACTTAGCTAATCTTGGGTCCCGTTCACACGAGGGAATTTGGGCCGGGAGCAGGAAAGTTCGGGGGCAGAGCAAACGGCCGCGATCACACCACAACATCTGGGAAGCGTATTGCTTCTGTCCCTGAACTGGCCCATCCAAGCGAAACGCCGCATCAAGTTGGAACCACCTACTGAGGTGGTTCATCGCACTGTTGCACCTCAAACCGGGAGTCTGATCGCTGGCGCGTCCTGGGCTCCTAGCCAAACTGCGCATGCTCCGACATACGCAGTTCGGCTGGCTCACCGTCAGAGCTGTGTTGTCTCCCCGGCGTCTGATCGAGCTGGGGAGAAAAGGCGGCGCGGCCAGGGGATCCGTGGGATCCCGCCACGCCGTTTCAACTTTGGTGCAGCTTTTAAAAGCCACGCTTTTAGGCAGCTTTTCCCCTGCCGTGTGGCAGGGGCCTTTGTACCAGAAAAATGCTACACAAAAATGATTGTTGAAAATTTGATCTTTAGCAACAGGTTGAGTTTTATCATTTTAGTGCTTTTATTATATACAGCATTCTCAGATGATTGTGTGTGTTTTTTAGGTATGACAACCATCACTCAGGAAATGTTGAATACAACCATCTAAGAGCATATAATACTCTTGTTACCCATGGCCAAAATTAAAAGAACTTTATGTTTGGAACTTTCATTGTTAGACTTTGGCTATGGTATAAACTTAGAGATAGCCACTAAAGATAATTTAAAATTTTTCCCTTCTGTCATTGTGCCTAGTTACTTGTTGGGAAGAAATTGTGTTGCAATGGAAGAGCCTCTGCTTTAAATGCAGAAAGTTTAAGGTTCAATCCACAGCATCTCCAGTTAAAAGATTCAGGCAGTAGGTGATGTGAGAGACCTCTACCTGAGATGCTAGAGAGCCACTGCCAGTCTGGCAATACTGACATTGAGGAGCAAAAGTTCTGAGGCAGCCAGTTTGGTGTAGTGGCTAAGTGTAGTGGCTAAGAGAACTGGGTTTGATTCCCCATTCCGCCACATGAAGCCAGCTGGTTGATGTTGTATCAGTCACAGTTCTCTTAGAACTTTTCTATCAAGAGCAGTTCTCTCAGAACTCTCACAGCCCCACCTACCTCACAGGGTGTCTGTGTGGGGAGAGAAAGGGAAAGAGATTTTAAACCGCTCTGAGACTTCAAATAAAAAGTGGGGTATAAATTCAACTCTTCTTTCTGTCTGTCTCTTTCTTTTCAATCTTTATCTCCTTGTCTTGCTATCTCTCTCTTTCTCTCTTTCTGTCTGTCTTTCTGTCTTTTTTTCTTCCTCTCTTCATCTCTCTCTCGCTTTCTGACTCTCTCTTTCTGTCTCTGTGTCTGTCTTTATCTCTCTCTGTCTTTCCTTCTCTCTCTATGTCTTTCTTTCTTTCTCTCTCTCTTTCTCTCTTTCTCTTTTTCCCCTTCTATCTTTCTTCACTTTCTGTTTACACAGCAGATTCTGGAGTAACTTTCAGCTTGTAATTAAATTGGGCAAAGCCTGGTTGAAATTGTCTTCAAATTTTGATGCAAGTTAAATATATATTGTCAGCATACTTAGAGGGGTAGTGTTCCCATTCTGAAGACTCTGAACAAATTGGATAATGGAATGGTGACTTCTAAATGAAATAATGATAGGAATAATGATAGGAACATGCAAGTTTTAGCAGGGTACTGTCAACTAAAGACATCAGTGAAAAGTTCCATATATGATTTATAATAAAAATCATAGTTTAAATTTCATATGTGTATTTTTTGTATGTTTGTGAACTGAAATTATATACATATACATATATTTACAATGTAGGTCTACTCACAAGCTTAATGCTAGTAGTTCTTTTAGCTCATGATATAGAATTTCTGCTCACAAGACAACATGGCTTAAATGGAACATGGCTTCTCTTCTGTTCTTATGTGTTACAAGAACAGTCTTTTGCAGGAAAATTTTAAGAATTTATATTTAAGAAGAAGATGTGCTTATTTTAACACATACATAATGGCAAACAGGAAAAAGAAGCAGATTTAAAGGATTCCTTTTAAACAAATATTGCAACCCTGAATGAGACTTATTTTGTGCACTGGTGCTAAAATGAGGGTATTTGTAGTATGCAGTGCTGGAAACTGAACTTGGCCTTTCTTGTTCAAAAATTATACTAGTAACAGGTGACCCTTGTGAAATGTTGACTTCTGGTAGCATGAATTCAATAATGCTTGCGAGATCGTTGAAGTTGTTTAAGAGCATGTTTGTGCTTCTCCCACTTTTAGTAAGCTTAATGATTTCCTGAAAAGGGAGCTTGTTCTTCTCCCAGTCACAACCAGTAATTATCATTTATGTAAGATGTATTTGATTTTCCCCCAACTCTTTGCTTACTGGGCATCTATTTCTGCATTTGCACCCAAGACACCAAGATTTTGTGTCACAGACAATGGCTGCCATTGTTATTGTTAACATTAGTTTTTTACAAAATTTGTATCTCACCTTTCTCCTTTACGTGGGCCTTGCAAGGGCAGCTAAAAATTTAAAACATACATGATAAAATAACATATTTAAATCATTAAAATCAATCCCCCCGAATACACGTCATTAAAACAATTAAAAATAGAGTTAAAGTACACAAAAAAGCAACTAAAATATCGGCTAGGAAGAAGGGAATTGAGGAATTGCCAAATGCGGGGGGAAAGTCTTCACCAACTGGAAGAAGATTGCAACAGAAGTTCCAGAGCTTTGATATCATGACCAAGAAGGCCCTTTTCAAGTTGCTACCTGCTTTACATTAGGAGGTGGGGACATCCAAAGCAGGGCCTTGGTAGATGGTCATAATGCTAGGGCAGGTTTATAAGGGAATATTCAGTTGTTGTGGTATTTTGGTCCCAAAACATACATGGCTTTGAAGGTCAAGATCAGCATCTTGAAAGGTGCCTGGAAACAAATAGGGAGTCAGTGTAGATGGGCCAACACTGGAGTGATATGGTACCTATGACCCATTCCAGTCAACATTCTGGCTACAGTATTGTGTAATGAGTGAAGTTTCTGAACACTTTTGAAGGGAAGTGCTACATAGAGCAGATTGCAGTAACCTAATCTAGAAGTAATCAGAGCATGCATTATAGTGGACAGTCTTTTCTGCCCAGGAAAGGCTACAACTAGCTAACCAATTGAACCTGGAAAAAGGCACTCCTGGCCACAGCTGCCACCTGCTTAACTAGCAGTAGGCCTAGATCCAAGAGGACCCCCGGACTAAGGACGACTTCTTTCAGGGGGAGTGCAACCCCGTTCAGAATGAGAACACCTGAAAACCTGGGTCAGACCTTCTGTACACCAGTAGAGCTTCCTTCTTGTCAGGATTAAGGTTAAGTTTATTATCTTGCATCCATTTCAAAACTGCCTCCATACTTTCTGCAGCCTTCCTGGGATCAGCTTGAAGCATAATGTAGAGCTATATGTCATCTTCATATGAAGGACAATCCAGCCCAACTCTATAGGTGATCTCACCCAGAAGTTTTCATGTAGATACTGAAAAGTATAGGGGACAAGATGAAGCCTTGTGGAACCCCTGAGGGAAAAGACCAAGGGGCTGAGCAGCAATTCCCCAAGAAACACCTTCTGAAACTTACCCTCCATGTACAAGTTTTTTCCAACATATCTTAAAGAGAAATTACAAGTTTCAAAGATTTTGCTTGAAATATTCACAAGCATATAGAAATAAATAACACCTTATAAGATTTTTTCTCATGTAAATACTTTATTTCATGGACAACAAAGCTGTGTGCATAAGAGTTTTCACGCCCTAATCAAACTTTGATTTTTAAACCATTCTGGATGACCCCATTTTAGGCATCTAGTAAGTTCGTCTTATTAACTGATCCTTTTTATTTAATTCGGGTGTTAAGATAATTATGTAACATTTTGGACAAAAGATACA